TCCTAGTTAGATACCATTTGAAAATTAGTAGTTTACCCCTCAGATGTAACAAAACCAGGTTTGTAGGGAGATGTAATAGTTTTTTATTAGAGCAACTTCTACAGCTGAAAAAACCAGGCAAGCTTCTAGACAGACAAAACCACTTCTGGTCTGGAACAGAATAGGAGTATTCAAACTAAGACCAAGTTGGGAACAATTGCTCTGCTTTTACTTTGTTATGTTAAAGAGAGCACTGTTAGGACAGATTGGTCACCTCTTTGAGCCTGGAGAGTCATCAAGCTCTGAGTTAAGAAGAAAATGTATTTGGTTCAGCTATCTCAGTCTATATTAATCCCACATATGGCTCCACCAGCTTCAGTAGACAAACATTGTTAACCTAAGCATTTAATGATAATTTCCATTGAGGATTTGTTTATTTACAGTAAAAGGCAGAGTGGCCTTAGTGGGCAAGACTCTAGGCTGAAACTCTGAAGCCCACTCTCTATTCTTCCTTCAGCTGCTGGTCTACTGAGTGATCTATAGTGTCTATTCATCAGCTTCTCTGTGGTAAATGGGCATAACAAAACTGGTCTCCTTGCGAAGTCCTTTTAGATCTACAAAGGAGAAGTGTTACACAGCAGCAATACACTTCTTCATTACTAGCTTTTTTCATGTGGTTCCTTTAATAGACATTTGGGTTCTGATAGTGTTACACCCTGTTCTCTTCTGAACAGGCTGTAACACTACTGGTGCTAGTAGTATCTCTGTGTTTGCCAAATGTGACTATAAGACTCTACTTACTTGTGATGTAAGCAGTTAAAAAGTTGTTTATCTATACTCCCTAATATCAGATACTGCAATGGCAGATGCAATCTGAGTGGGCGCATGTGGAAACAAATAACTATGTAGATGCTCACAGATTCTCCAGTAAATGTACAATAAATCCTATCTTTGTCCCATTTAAATAAAACACAGGAAAATGAATGCTGAAGCATTTCCCACTATTATGTAATGAATGTGTATGTGCAGTCAAATGTACAAATGCATAACCATACTTAGGCACAATGCATACATTGGCATTAGTGTGCAATGTATATATATATAAAATATGGCAAATAAACATTCATGTTGCAAAGCCAAGCAACATTGGATAGTCCAGACTTCAGGCTTCTTGGGCAGTCTTAATTAGCCCTTTGGTGCAAAGCCAAGCAACATTGGATAGTCCGGACTTCAGGCTTCTTGGGCATTCTTAATTAGCCCTTTGTAATATGTAGGACAGTACAATGTTGCTCACACTATAACATGTAGGGCTTTTTCCCTTAACAGATTCTTGCTTCAGCCAGTCAATAGGGAGGCAGTTTTTTAACCTTTCTGGTTTTCATCTTACTGCATTATGTGCTATGGCCTCAGATCTCATCTTAGTGCACGTGATCCAAGTGTTGCACTGAACACAGAAAACATTAATGCTCTTCCAAGATTTTGTTTCTCTGTTGTTTCCATGACAGCATCTTAATATGCCTCAAATCCTGATGACCATATCTCTGCAACATATCTATGCAGGGTGAGAATTCTATTTCCTTTACAACGTTACTGCCATCATGCAAAAGCACTTAAGCAAGAGGGGAGAAAGGACAAAAACATCAGAATGCCAACTTTCAGTGAAAGCTGAAAGAAGGAGCTGTGGGAGCCTTTGCATGTGTAGAATTTCCCTAGCACCTCTGCTCAAAGCACAGGACCAGTTGACTACAGCTCTCAGCACTTCTGTATTTCAGGCCCCAGGTGTCTCTTGTTGAGCACCCAGAAAGTGAAGCCAAGCACTCAAGAAGGAGGAAATTCCAGAATTATGTCATCATGCCTACATGTGGGGAGGGGAATGGAGCTAATCGTGCCCAGGCAGTCCGAATTCTGGCATTTGCTAACATTTTAGCATTTGGCTCACAACCTTATCATTCTTTTAGCTGAGTTTCTCTGTGTCTGTATATACATTTCTCTGTAAATAAATAAGGACATCTGAACTGTGCCTAATCTGCTAAAAACTCTTGTACTGCCTTCTCAGTAAAACTAATTTATTGATGTGTGTGCCCTTGGAAAAAGGCATGGCATGTGTTGTAATAACCTTTGCTTATTGATCCTGGTGCAATTAAATCTAAAGAAATCTTGGGAAACTTGGTTTTGATTGTTCCCAGAAAAGGAAGGAAGTAAAGAAGATCTACCTTAATGGGCGCTGAAGTATGGATACATCCCCCTGCTCCAGCTGTGCCTCAAACATTCTTCCCTAATCTGCTTTAGAAGCAGGAGTAGGCTATAGGCAGGCAAATATTTTGACACCCAAAATCAGGGGGATCAAGGACTTCTAGGGGACAGGAATAAATCTGCTTTACTTCAATCTGAAAACCTTCTAATAAATCTCCAGTTCTTTGTTTGTTACATTGTCCCTATCCATTATCAGATTACAAGTGAGGCATTAAAAAGTATAGCATGAAGGCTCAAAAATCCCAAGATTTTCAATTAAATATTGCTTTATTTTTTGTTTGCTGCCTGTAAATTTTCTCAAACCCTTCACCTTCTGAAACTTCCCTGCACAAGCTGACAGGTTGGAAACAGATTAAAAATGGAAGCTGAAATCCATATGTAAACAGCTGGCTCCAGGAGCTGGTGCTCTAGGGAATGAAAACTTGCAATGCAAGACTCACAAAACTCTTGTGGGAGTTGGCTTCATTAGTATCTGCCATAAGTGTGTCTGTGTGCATAAATCTGTACACCACTGCGATCCTATCTGTGTGTGCATATGTACCTGAGGTTAGCAGATTAGTCACTCCCGGCTGCGCTGGTCAGTCCTCTCTCTTCTCACACTTCTCATCTTTTCTTTGAAACTGGGAGTGCCTCCCTCTTTCATACACCCCCTCTTCACTAGAGCTACAGACTGATGGCAGAGGGGCATTTTTTTACCCCTCCTATGTGTGTACAGCAGGAGAGCTCTTCTCACTGACTGCTGACTGCATTGGATGTTATCTTGTCTTTTAGACAGTGGGCAAAGCAATGTTTTGACCCTGCCAAAATGAAATGCCCTGGCTTGCTCTCCTAAAGCTCTCCTCTGTAGCCCTTCTATATAGGGTACTAGGGAATTACAATGGTCAAGGGAGGCATCAAAGGAAGTCATCGTAAGGACCCAACCTTTTTTCCACTTCAAGTTTAATGGTCTGAAAAATCCCTGATAAAGGAGTGGCATTCATTAGTAGTGTTTTTAATTCTGGAAATGCCTTCTCATCCATTCTGGATTCTTCTTCCCTTCCCAGGCTGGGAGCACATGGTTATCCCTTCTCCGTGTCAGCTGCGGAGATGACCTTTCCCTTTCTCCTCCCTGTAGTCACTAGCAGTAGGGGGAGCAATGGCAGATCTTATGCCAAGATTCCCTCATTTTCCCAAGAGGAAAAAGCATAGCTGTCCATGCTGAGACACTTCCTTACAGTATGTGGCTAAGCCATGCTCTCCAGTCAAGATACCAGCTAGCAACATATGCTCTGTGAGCTTCTGGTGGAGAAGTCCTGGGGTAGACAACATGGTGGGAATAGTATGGTGCCTAATACATTATTGAAAACAAAATACAGCTGCATGTTCCTGTTGGCTGAATGCAACCTGTCAGCACCACCGTCTCCAGAAGGTGCCACGTCTGATTGCAGCCAGCCTCTGTAGGAAAAGGTGCCAGTAGCCAAGCAGTTTGGGAAGCATGACATGTTTCCCCCGTCTGCTTCCAGGCTATGTTAACATGGCAGGTTAGAGCAGGGAGTGTGCCTGGAGATGCACCATGTCACAAGGGACTGTGTGGTAGCAGGCGGGTTGCTCAGGAAGCTGTGGAGGAACTGCAGTGTTTTTCCTAATGGCTGGATGCACCATGCCCAGGACAACATGTGTTCTCTCATGTGATGGATTGACACGGTTGCTTGCTATGCCATGATGGTATGTCAAGCTCAAAAATCACTCCAGAATAATTCCTCCATAGCCCACAGATTTGCTCATCCTAATTGTCGATTTGCTCATCCTAATTGTCGACAACTGTAACTCACTCTTTTAGGACTAGCTCTGTTTTCAGTCCTGGTAGTTCACTGAATGTAGTAGGCTGGGTGTCCCTACTCTCTCAGGAGTGTGAGTGGGTTGGATGCCAGCGCTGGGCACAGGAGAATGATCACATTACTGTAGCTGGGAACAAGTAATGTGTTAGGCTTAGTTATTTTGCTGCACCATTATCTTTCCAGTTCTGCTTGTATTATGTTTTGGTCTGGACAATCAGAACCCTTCTAACTTCAGACAAACATCAAGGAATGAATGGTTTGCCCTCCTGAATAAAATGAGAACATGTGAGAGTGGGGAGAGAGGGGAAGGGAGAGAGGCATTTGCATAGGTCAGGAAAGGTCATTAAAACATCTGGCAGTAGTAACTGACATGTGTCAGATTTTAGTGTTCATTAAATTCGTATTAATGCAAGAATGGTGCTTAAGCTCCAAATGCCACTTTTGGTTGCTGTGTTCTCCCAGTTGATGGTGATGACTTTTCAGAACTGTACCATGCTTGTTTGCTTGCTAGTGGCATCTGACCTGAGGTCAGATTTCTATTTAACCTCTTCCTGTAGGTCAAAAGACAAATTAATCTGGTGAGAATTGAATTGGAAATGAGGTGTCTGGATAGCAGGTGTCCTGACCGTGGAATAGCTGCCAGGCTGAAACATGTTTGTATCTGTCCTTATGCCATCCAACAAGTCATCTCTGAGGTCAGGGAGATATTCAGTTGACATCTGAGATGGGAAGTCGCTACAGGGAGCAGAAGTGGCAGGTGCCCTGCGCTAGCAGATTATCTTGCATTCTGGGGGGAAATGTGTCACTCTGAGCATAAATGTGTATGTTCCATCTATTGTGCACTTTGTTTTACCTGGGTTCACTGCCAGTTAATAATTGTAAATAAAACACACAATTCCCAGACCCTTTAAAGAGGAGAATCTCACAAATCTTTTTCTTCCTTTTTTTTAGAGGATGAAGATGATGAAGAGATGGTGGAGCCAAAAGCACAGGATGACTTGGAGACAGAAAATCAAGACCAGAAGCAGGAAGTGAAAGAAGGTACTTTTAAAAATGGAAAGGATATTGTTAGATGTTTAAAGGACTGAATTTTGCCAGTAGTTAGTCTCATAGGTAGTTTCCATTATTAATAACACTATGAAATCAACACAATCACCAGTTTTATTGATTCAAAACCATATGAATGGCATAAATTGTATCCCAGTGACTCAGCTGGTAGGTCTGAAAAGCTTGTGAAAGGCACAGGACTTCAGCTGTTTAGAAGCAGCTACATGTCCTTACAATGTGGGAACAAAGGAGAGATTCTTGGATCCCGGGACTGGTACTAATTTGTCCTCTGGCTCAAATACTCTGCTTACGTGGAAGATTTAAAACGCAAATGCCAGGCATTCCAGCAGCTCCATAAAGTTGGTTGTTCTTCAAAGGTACTTGGTGCCCATAACTGTCTGCCTGCTTGAGAGGGACAAACTTAAACCTAGTAGTAGTCAGGAGTCTTCCAGCAGAAAACCATTTCACTGGAAAATGTTTTTGTGGGAACTGCTTCAAGGGAACTTTAAAAAACCCCTCGGAGCCAGGCAGGTCCAGCCCTTCTGTCCATTTGTCTGGATTGAGGCACTCTTCAGGGTTATAAGAGACAAAAATTCAGGTTATTACTTGCTTCTGGTGCAGACAAGAGACACTTGCCAAAGTCATGCATGTCAGCACTGGACAGGGTAGATATGCTTGGTGTCTCTTTTTCTTCTCTTGGACCCATCCTGGTTTTTGAAGTAGAAGAAGGATGTGAAATTTGACTATTCTAGTATGTCAGTGGCTTCAACAGTCAAAGCTCAGCCCTGTGTGGAGTGGGGGGAAGGAGCTGAAACAGCAGCTCCAGTGTGAAAGGAAGTGGGTTTCTTCTCCAGCATTTCTTACCTCTGTATTACCAGGACTGCTCACAACACTGTTTACCCTCCTGAAAGATAACTTACTTCTTCAGGTAGTGCCTAAGTCACTTCTTGCTATGGGGATCATTATCAGGATTATTCTGTGATGTTGCTTTTGTTTCTCACAAGACTAGGGGGAAAATATGGAGTCATTTTACAGAGAAGCCTATGAAATCTTTAATTGTGAATACAGCAGTGGATGCTTCTTTCTTATCTACGGGAGACTGGTGTCTTTTCATCAGTGTCCAAAAAACCCTGAATCCAGTATGCAGTGCCCACATTTGCTATCCTTACACATTGAAGTGAGTTGCCATACCAGCTATACTGTTTTGATTATAAATTAGTCTTTCTTCCCTCTTCAGAGCATCACAGAAATGACCTGTGCCATAAATCCTACAGTTCATTGCTCATTAGGTCCCTGTAGAAACACAGAGGAGAAACCCACTCCTCCTGCTCCTCATCCTTCTGCTACTCCCAATGGCCCCTGCCATTGCTCCTGGGGCAGAGGGGAGCAGCAGTGATAGCAGCAACAGGAGTCACACAAGGGTCTGCAAAGGTAGAACTGAAAACATGAGCAAGAAATGTGGCAACATAGAAGAACTTACTTTTTTATGAAAATTACCTTTCCTTCCATAAATATGGGGTCAACTCACTTACAGGCTCTAGCCATCACTGGACCTAACACAGTATGTCTTTTACTGATGGCAACAGGAAGCCATAAAAAAACCCTATCAGTGTGCCTGGTATGTAAGCTGAGCTGCTGAATGTCCTCGTAGTAGTCAGCTTACAGCTGATCCCACCCCCATTTATTCCCACAGAAAGATAACACTGACACTTATACATGGGGAGAAAGCACAGACTCCTGCATGAAGAGAAGAAAAAATCTAAATACAATCCTGAACTGATTTATTTCACTTTTTTGTAGGCTTTCAAGTTAGCCTCTTACGTACTTTGCTGACCAACTACTACTGCCAACATCTTTTATTTCATTGCTATGTTATAATCAAGGGGCAGTGCTCCCCTTCCCTGCCTAGAGGACCCCCCAGGAGTGGTAGATCAACTGGACTGGTTTAGCACAGGTCTCAGACGCACCAAATGAAGGCTGTAAAAGCAAGGCACAGCTTGTTTTAGCAGAACCAGCTTTGTGAGGTGCTAACATTTGACTGGGCTCATGGGTGAAGAAAACATGCTCATTGCCTGATAGAAAGCGAATGTGACCTGCAGTATGTGTTGTGATGGATAAAATAGTGTTGTGCTGATGACTGGCATTAAATGCTGTGAATCAAATGAAGCAGTTGTCCCCAAACCAACACAGAATGGAGTCCCTTTTTTTTCTGTTCAGTGTCATTCTCTCTCTGTTGGCTTTAGCCCTCTTGCCCACAAAATCCCATTTTCCTCTCTGTTGTAATCACCCTTCTCATGTTCTGAGCAACATTCAGAGCTTGAAGCCATCGTTTGTGTTTCATGGAAGTGATTAAAACCATGTTACAAGTCAAACAGGAGTTTAGAAGAACATTTCCTGTCGGTGCTGCACTCTATGTGCCTACTCAGAATTAATAGCTTTTCTGCAAATTAGCACATAATGGGTTAAAAGCATGTTTATGTTGGCATTAAGTACTCTGGCTTCTTTTTCTCTGAAAGGCAAGACAATATTTTGCAAACTTTTTAAAGAATCTCTAATAGATATTATAGTGGCGCCATTCACACTGCTATATAGTAGTTAAGGCTGTGTCAGCACTTCCATTATGAATCCTGTTTTTCAGGGATTTATAACCCAGCCGTAAAAATTTGCTCTGGGCTGAAATTTGGTTTCAGCTCAGGGAGCACATTTTTTAACAGATTAAAAAAACTCAGCGTGGCCTTTTTTGAGTTATGGGAGTGTAAGAAAAAATCCATGGGAGAGAGAAGTGCAGGGAGAGAAAGGCAGACAATTTTTTTCATGAATATACCTCAAAAATAGGTCAGGATAAAAATTAAAGCTTGGATCCAATCTGTTCAACCTCCCTCTCTCCAAGCCAAAAGGACAGGGGTGCTCTATTTTTATAATGGCATTTTAAGAGGAAATGTGATTTTTTTTACACTGTGATTTATAGGTAGTCCAATTTAATTCTACAGACATTTATTGCATGCTTAATTTCCTCATCTTCCCCCTGCACACCCCAGAATTGCTCTACAGGGTTTGATGGGATTATTCAGCAGTCATGGGTGTTTGCAGAGTCTGTCTCAGCATCACACATTGCACCTGCACTGGGGCAGCCTGTTGGGCATAACACCTCTTGAGGAACTTCAGTGCCATGGAGGGCAGAGGAACAGATTGAGCCCTCCAAAGTGTTTCTGGAGTGGGAGGTGAAGAACTTACTTGTTGACCACTTGAAGCATATGAAGCCTTGGGACCACCTTGTGTTTCTCCATGGGGCTGCCCGTTGTCACCCATGTCTCAGGTGCATGTTCTCCTCATTGTTTTTGGAAGAACTGAGTGTGGGATACCTGACGGTGAACTGGGCTAGGCTCTGCTGGTTCCCAGCCCCTTCTGACCACATAAACAGTTTGGTCCCAAACTGTGGCATCAAATGGGCTGGGGCTTTCCACCACCAGAGAGCTCTGCAGCTCCACCTAAGGCGCCTCTTTGTGTCAGTAGAAACCACATGAACAACGGGACAGGCTGGGTCTTGAAAGTGGGCCTCAACCTGCATTTATCTGAAGCCATGGGTATATCCACAGATACTTGCATGAAAGGCTGTGATGGGGGAGGATGGGATCTGCAGCTCCAAAGACCTGCTGTGCCTGGCTCTTGCCCTGGCCCAGTACATGAGGCTCAGGTGTCCACGCAGCACTCTGTGCTGCCGGAGATGGTTTAGCTCTCAATAGCTCAGGCATCAGTATCAGAAAAGCAGAGCAGGTTGGGGTGAGGTTTGTAATAGCCAGTAATGCCACAGTTTCACTGCCACCAGCACCAGAGTGAGTTCAGTTGTGCCAACCCATCCTTACAACCCAGTTCAGGCATGCTCAGGGATGGTGCTCAGCATGGCCCCTAGAGGAGCAGCATCAATGGGAACAGCCCTGTATGACACAGATCTGAATTTAAGGTGCTGCAACTTGCTACTCCAGAATAAAAAAATCCCTAAATGCACCTCAAAAGCTTCTTTATATGTTCAGCAGTTATGCCGTGCAGGGTCTTGCCAACACAACCAAATATGACATATATCAAACCATTATATGTCACATAGCAAAGCAGGGTATGGCATATATCAAGCGAAGCACAAGAAAAACAAGAAGATCAGAAGCTATTAGCAGGCAAGGACTGAAAGCTGCCAAGAGCCTCTTTGCACCTTGCAGTTCTTGCCCTTTACATTTCGGACGTCCTTGTCGTCAGCACATCTAAAGTTTACATGGATTTCAATAGACGCTGAAAGAAATAATACAGCTCTTAAGAGTGTTTTGTTAATCTCCTTCTGTCTCTCGTTATATCTCTGGGTGCATAACAAGGCTGCTTCCTGCTTTACTGCTTTTATTAGTTTGCCCTTTCTTTCATTTGCTTACTCCTTTGGGTCTTTTTTTGTTGGTTTTTTTTCTTTCCTTTAATGGACTTCATTTCTCTTGTCAGGTTTTTAGGATTGCTGAGCTTCCAGGAGAATCTTTTTTTATAGTCTATTATAATTATTTAAATGTGGTTCTTATTGGTTGTTTGTTTGTTTTTGTAATGCCTTTTTGACTCCCTTGGGAGACAACTCAAATCCTGGCATTTGAATGTTTGTGAATTTCATCCTGCACTGTTATCCCAACTATTTATGTTATATTTACTACAAACATGCTTTTGACAGATGAGAAAAAGTCTGCATCAATTTTCCCTTAGTTCCTAAAGATTCAAGAAAATGTTTTAGATTTCCTTTTTTTTTTTTCTGTTTTGTCCAAAAAAATTTCTGGACTAAGGACATGATTTGAAATATAGTATTTCTGAGAGTCATGTTAAATTACATGAAATAATAAAATGCACCTATTTTTCTTAAATAAGTCTTGAATAAATTGGTTTTTTCATGTAACCTTCAATTTTTGTTACCTATTCTAGACCTTTCTATTCAGGCACAAACGCATAATGTCTTTCATTACAGATATACATCACATTTTCTTTGCCTGTGGTGTCCTCTGTGCATATATAACTGCATATTTATTTAATTTTAAATATAAACTCCGTTTTATTTTGTACAGTATTATACATTAGCATGGACACGAGGCTTCTTTAATACATGTTGTTGACCTCATAACCCCAGAGCTACCTGGACAGCACTCTGCTCGTGGGTATGTGATCCCATTGATGTCTCAGTGGTTTCATGGACAAATGGGATGCCCAGTGGCCGTTAGGCAGGACTTGGTGGCTGCACTGTTGGTTGTCCTGTCATGAGCTGTGTGGGGCTGCAGATGGGTTCAGCTCCTCTGGGTGAGATAAGAGCATAGGCATAACTGTTCATTAGAAAGCTATGGTGTAGAAACAAGAGCAAGTGATGGGTCTTCCTTTGTGGGAGCTTTCATTGCATTCCAGGCAATAAGCACGTAACTTCTAGCAGTGGTAAACTACACATTGCGCTGGGCTTTGTTAGACACAGAAGGTTAGATGTGGTTAGTTTGAGTTTTATGCCAGCGACAGCAGATACTTGAAGGCAAATGCTGTATTCTTACAGGGAATTTCTGGAGATATTGTCACACAGGTGTCTGTGACAAAACAAAACAAAACCCACTTTGATCAGTTACTTATGTTTCTCAGGGTTTTCCTTCAAGAGAGCCTGTCTCTTGGAAGCTGAGATCAAAGTCACTGTAAGCTCCCAGACTGGAAGAAAAATTGCAGAAAATTACATAGATTCTTTTTATTTTATTTGAGGTAATGGACAGACAGGGAGAAGGAACAAGGAGAAAATGGAAATGGCTCTGAAAGATAAATGGTTAGAAAGTCTTCATATTTGAAAGAACAAACCTGTCTGTTTTGGAGGTTTTTTGCTTATACTTCATGTATTTACAGTAGTTACAGCAATGTTTTACACTGGAAAAATAATGATGTTAACATTCTTGTAAGAAGAGATTGCCTCAAATAAAACTTCAGAGGCAGCCGAATGAAAGAAGAAAATAAGGTTAAAATATGAAGCTTAATATCGCCAAGGGGCATCTGGTGTGTCAGTCAGATGAATGAGGTAAGCTGATTTATGGCCTACAAACTTTAGCCAAGGTGTTTCTGATGGTTTAATAGACTGCTGGCCTCCCACAGATCATTGCTGACTGCAAGGGAGATTGTGCTGAGGTAGAACTACAATCATGTGTGCCTCCACTGCTTGTGAGCGCTCCACAGCTCCCAAGTTATTTATTTTTTGCCTTTTCCCTTTCTATTGATTTTTGGCTTTGTTTTCTTTGCCAGTTATAGGTGGCAAATGGCCAAGTAATAAATTTATATTTCCAAGCTGTAGAGAGGATTTGGTTTAGCAAATAATTTTTACCATTTGGAGCAGTTTAAAATGAGCTTTCCAGGTACATTTGCAGTTATTTTGCCCCCTTTTATGCCATTTTGCTGCATTGTCATGTGTGTTGTCTTTGATTCTCGGAAAGCAGTGCTTTAGTGGTGACGATGGGATATTGCCTCATTACAGCCTTCCTTGCCAGATGAGTTCCCTTAGTGCCAGTTACTATTCAGCAGTAGATGCTGCAATAGGTCAACCTGTACTTTTTGCTAGTCATTCTCTTTTTTTACACATGGTTTGCTTCTGTGTAAAGCACTTAGAGACAAACTATGCTTCTGCCTTGGTAACTGTGCTGCTACTCAGGGGACTGTGGGGGGGGACATAGATATTCTCTGGATGTGTGGCCCTCCACAAGGACCACTAACCTGCTGGTAGGAAACACAGGGCCAAGGCCATAGGAGGTCACCAAAGGCTAAAGTCTGTAACTTCTTAGCTTTTCTGTCTTCTGAGGGCCAGTTTGCTCCTCCACCTTTTGCATTTCTCCTACCCTCTATATTTAGCTCAGATGTAGTACATAGATTTTGTCTTTCAGAGCTCATGCTTTGGCTACTTGAGGCGAATCTAAGCTTGGTGATAGCAGCCTCTCCCAACCACAGCAACTCTGAAAGCAGATACACTGAAAACTGGAGGAGCTGAGTACTGCAGTAATGATGACCATGTCACTACTCCTGTCTGCTGTTGTGCCTTTCCATCCGTCCTTGCTCGAGGGGCTGGTGGTGGCATCGTACTTGGGCATTGGAGAGTATGAATCTGGTGTGAAACATGGGGAAATCAGATGGCAAGCAAGGGATACATCTCCCTGATCGCTGAAAGAAGCTGTGTGGCATGGCTCAGCACCTGGAAAATTATTTCAAGCTGCAGCTTTAAACTGTGTCACTCATTGTTGAATTAAACACTGAGATATGTATGACAGGGCTGGGAGTTAAACTTTGATGTATAGTGGGTGTTCTTTGAGCTGCTGAATTCCCTGTTTTGGCTGCTGGTGTTTTAACCCAACATAGCCTATGGAGACCACAAGGTCATTTTCACAAGTAAACACCTCAAATATGTAGTGTAAAGCCAAATGCAGAAGACCTTTGATCACAAGTTAAACTCTTAAGTATAAGCCTCTGTAATTTTGCAATAAATCTGTTTATGATAGGTTGTTTGTGTTCCTAATTATGAATTTGGAACAAAATTCTCTGTTAGCATAATTTCTATGATGTCAACAGAGCTTTTCATACTGGGAATTTGACCAAGGTTGGTTTGGTGTAACTGTGCAGGTACTAATGGCATTTTTTGAAATGATTTAAAAGCACATGTGGGCAAAGGCATAATCGATATACAATATTTCCACAATATCAGTATGACCCTGCTAGTGTAATTGAGAACAGAATTTTGCACCATAGCAATAGCAGCATGCTAATTTCCTTTCCCCCTGATGCTCATGTTTGAGTTGTAATTTACCAACAGGTCATTAAACTGATGGAGATGTTGCATTGGTGCACCCTACAAAGATAGTATTTTTCAAATGAAGGGCTATGCTGGAAATATTGGCTTGGAAAGAAAGGCTTAGCATCTCTTTGTACATGTAAAGAAGCATCTTGTGGAGGACAGGTTATCCTGACCGGTGCCTGAGATGGCACCTACCTCTCCCATGGCTTTGCATGTGGCTCAGTGACATTTGTTGTTCTGGGTTTTAGGATTGCTCTGCAAGGAATAACACTGCCATAAAGAAAAAGGCATTTGGCTGGTTGGTTTTGATTTTGCTGGGTTTTGATTTTGCTGCCTCAGAGAATATCTTTGGTTATTTATTTCATTGCTTTGCAAAAGCTCTGAAGCAAAGACAGAATTTGTTGGGGACACCAAGTAGAAATGGGAAGTGAAGGGAGAGATTATGTGAGCCTTTTTAATACAAAGAACTGTAGTATAAGTTAAGAAGATTATTTTATCTTTGGCTCCTCTGACAGCTCCCCTGTTACATAAGTGTTCTGATTTTTCCAGTTAAGTATTGCCTAAACGTCAGTCATGGCCATTTCCTGAAATTGGAACACTGAGTTTATTTAATTTGGGGGGTTTAAGTATTTTCCATTTCAGAATAATAAATATATAAGACATAAGATCTCTTCTATGTAAATGCTACATTCTGGGAATATACAGGAGTATGTTTAGATATACTAAAAACTTCTTAGTCATGATTTTAAGAGTAAAGCTTTGAGTTTCCTTCTGACATTGCTACAGCAAGCTTTCATGTCAAAAGAAACCTGCTGAAGATATTCATTGGGAAAGGAGTGAAATGTCATACTCTTAACAACGTCTTTTCATTTTCCAAGCTCCTCCTAGGGAATTGACAGAAGAAGAAAAACAACAAGTTCTACATTCAGAAGAATTCCTGATATTTTTTGACCGGACAATACGTGTAATTGAGCGAGCTTTGGCTGAAGATTCAGACATCTTCTTTGACTATAGTGGCAGAGATGTAGAAGAGAAAGATGGGTCAGTTTGGGGTTTTTTTTGCTTTTATAAGTAAGCTTTATAAAGATAATTCCAATGCCAGGAAACCTTAATTTTAAACAAAATTTAGCTTTTATGTAATTTAATTTTTATACGTAAGAAAAGGTTAAAATCTCTCTGTGAAAGTCTGGGTCACTTTGTCATCTGAGATGGGGGCTGGAACTGGATGATCTTTCAGGTGCCTTCCAACCCAAACTATTCTATGACTCTATGATTCTATGAAATTATTTTGAAAAATAGGTTCATGCTTTATTGATCTGGGTTTTTTTTTAATTTGACATAGTATTCACTTAGTCCAGCTTTTTGTTTCATTCTGGGCATGAAATTTCAAATTCTGAAGAATAACTGAAGTAGCTAAATGTGTGTATACACATGTATATGTAAATATGTGCATTCCAGTGGTGTACATGTGTGTGCTTAGGATGTATGTGTATGTGCTTGCAAATTAAAACTAATGTTTTTTATATTCTACTACTGCCTCAGGTCTGTAATGGATCCCCCTGTACTGTGCATTGTGGGGATGAAAATTATGATCTCCCAAAGTATTTGCAATCTAAATACATAAGACAAGAAGTGACAGCTCCGGTATTTAGCAATTGATAGGGGAGCACAAGCAGTAAAACCTGTTAGTAGGCGAGGAAATATTTTGGTTTCAACAGCTATGTATCCATTGAAGCCTTGTGGCAAATCAGTAGCTGTGCTGCACTGAAGTTACTGGAGGTTACTCTAGAGTATCATCCCTGTGGACCAGCTAAATGCATCAGTGTGGCAGTGCTGGACCAGCACTGAGATTCGGCCTGTCCTTATGATGCCAAACAACATCTGCTGTCTCCATCGCTGGGAGGAGGTGCTGTACCTTTAAGATTTCAGGAGTCAAAAGTAAGAGGGATTTGGTTATAGCTTGGAGCTGAAGGTTCAGAAAAGAGTGAGCTGGATACCAGGGCCATGCTCATCCTGAGAGACAGAGGGAGCAGAGATGGCCCAGGGTGACCTAGAAGAGTCAGGAAGGCAGTAAGAAATTAAGAAATGTGGTTTTGTGAAACAGATGTAAAATTTGTTCATTGGTGCAGATTCATTTTCAGCAAGACAATCAGTGAGAGCAATTCAATCAAGGTGGAAGACTTCCCCAGGCTGGGCAGATACCTGAAAAGTAGTCAGAAACTTCTGCATTGCTTTTCAGTGTTTGAACCCTGGTACCTCAAAATTTGTCACTTTGTTTGAATTCACACAGAGATGTTCAAGCAGGAGCCAATCTTTCCTTTAACCGTCAATTTTATGATGAGCACTGGTCAAAGCATCGTGTCGTCACCTGTATGGATTGGTCTCTTCAGGTAAGGTGTGCAGCTGGGAAATCCATTTTCATATCACTTCCACTTCTCCCTAACAAACTTACAGCCAACCTCAGTTTGCTCTTATTTATGCAGAGTAGGATGTTATTTTTTAGCTAACAGCAGGGCCATGTATGAGTGAATGCATGTTTCTCCATAAAGAAGAGTAAACCTGGGCAATAATGAAGTTGTCATTTTTTTTGTATATGTTACTTGGTCTTCAAAACCAGGATGTTGTACTAAAAGTCTAGGTTAACAAACCTACTAAGATGGAGTCTTTACTTTTCCTCCCCTCTACACTCCTGCACCACATGGAAATTTTTTTGGATGAAAGGTTTAAAATTAAATTAATTAAAATTAATTTACTAAATATGTAGCAATTGATTTAATAAATAGTAGTATATAAAATAAAAAGAATAGTGAGAAAAAAATCATTTTTCTAATATACTAAAACTAAAAATCTGAATGTATCTGAACAACTTGAAAAGATTGAAAAAATGTCTTTCAAAAAATACCGTGTCCTCTCTTCAAGCAATGGAAGAGGAGGTTGCAGCTGCCCAGAGGATATGCTAAAGCAGTGTACCTGGACTGTATCATGTTTCTGTGCACCTCAAAGCATTGTCATATTGCAAAATAAAACTGATGATAGAGCTGCTTAAGCTTTCCAAAACCTATATAGTCAAATCAGCAAAGTACAGAAACCAAGTTAATTAGTTACTCTATTGGAGAGCTAGGATTAGCACATACACACGTCATCTCAGGTTCTGTTAAATTTATTTCAATCTAGTTTCACTCCAGCCCTCCCCATCCTCTCTGTTTCATCCCTGTTAGCCTGTTCCTAGGTTCCAGCCTGGAGTTAAGCATCTAATTTCCTTGGGGAGAGAATCAAGGACACTCCGCCCCGAAGTCCACAATACAGATGTAACAAAACTACTCTAAAAAGACATGGAGTTTAAAAATGCAAGCACAAGCCAGTCTGCCTAAGTTGGCCCCAAACCCAGCCTCAGGTCTGCCCTGGGGTCTCCAGTGCCCTGGTGCAGCCTGCTGTGGGTAGCAAAGGTGTTGTAGATGTAGCTTAGCCCAGTATTAAGAATAAGTTTTGTTTAATCTTAGAAGTAGCTGCTCTTTCTGCACCACGTTAAATGTGTGTGTAGATGCAGCGAGTGCTCAAGGTCAAGTACGTAAACGGTGCACATGGGCTGGAGAGAGGCAGTGGATAAGAAGCACAGTGACTCTCACATCCATCCTTCTCTCCTTTCACTTGAAATGGCAGCAGAGCTGCTTTCATCCCTCCAGGTACTTCTCAGGAGCAGGGAGGACAGGAGTCAGAGGGTCCCAGCAAGTGTGGCTGGTAGGCTGAGCAGATCTGGGTGGTACATGACAGCCAGCAGCAGAGAGGCTTCTTGAAATATCCAGCTCGCACCCTGTGTGCAAACTGAAGGATTTATACCTTTGCTTTCATACAAAAATATCAGCCTAACAACAGGTATGCACTATTGTGATGTGGGTGGCCTTTAAGCACATATGGATTTCCACAGAAATCAAATATAAGCCTGAGGAAACACTTATCTTAGGTTGTTCACTTGTTCAGGGGCTGGAACATGGAATTCTTATCTGATATTTTCCTAACAGGCAGCTCTTACTGTATTCCCAGGGCAGCAAGAAAAAAAGCCGCCTCAGAAGAGCACTGCCAAATGTAATTGCTCAGCCCCTGGGGCTCGAAGGCATGTTCTGCTTCCCACCTCTTTGTTCCAGGGTGGCCCCTCCTGCCTTCCCCTCTGTTAACTCCTCACACTCAGCTCCCTGCCACCCCAGTGGGGGCTCCTCTGTGCCAGGGGCCTCTGCATGCTGCTCTACAGCAGCTTGGGAGGATGGAGTTGCCTCCTTTCTTGCCTGCTTTGAGTCATACCCATGGGGCAGGAACTGGAGCCGGACAGAGGTATTTCACCTAACCACTAGCTCTGCTTCTCACCCATGCTCTGGGACATGACAGCGTCCAGTGTGCCAAAGGGTAACTTGAATAATCATGGGAACTGCAGAACACATTGCTCAATTTTCTGTGATAAAACTGCTGCTGCGAAACAGCCTGGAGGCAAATAGAAACTTAATCAAACAAAGGACATTGATGCATTGATTAAACAAGTTATTCTGTTCCCAGTCATATGTAAAATACAATCTCAAACATGTGGGATCATTCATACCATTAAAGCTAACCCACTAGCCCCTTGATTCTTTCACGGAGCAATGGGAAAATGGCTTAGATGCTTCATCAGTGATCTTAGGGAAAGGCCCAACAGACTGAGAGTAAGCACAAAGCTCATCTAAAGCCAAGAAAACCATAGTCTCAGGGACAGTGACTTGTCTATCTTGACTCTCAGGCAGCAGCCATCAATGCTGTTTCCCACAGCCCAGAGGAGGCCACAAAGTTGATAAGAGGACTGGAGCATCTGCCCTATAAAGACAGGCTGAGGAAGTTGGGGCTGTTCAGTCTGGAGAAGAGAAGACTGAATGGAATCCTCATAGTAACTTTTCAGTATCTGAAGGGGTTACAGGGAAGCTGGAGAGGGACTTCTGTTAGGAGCTGCAGTGACAGGACAAAGGGTAATGGATGCACGCTGGAGGAGGGGAAGTTTAGGTTAGATATTAGGAAAAAGGCTTTTACTGTAAGGGTGGAGAGACACTGGCACAGGTTGCCTGGGGAAGTGGTGGCTATCTCAACCCTGGCAGTGTTCAAAGCCAGGTTAGATGAGGCCTTGAGCATCCTGGTCTAGTGGGGAGGGGTCCCTGCCCATGGCAGAGGGAATTAGGACTAGATGATCTGTAAGGTCCATGCCAACCTCTAAAATTCTATGATTCTATTTCCATGTTGTTTTCAGTTGCAGCCACAGGACATGTGGGCACCTGGTGAGGACTGAAATTCTGTAAATGCAAGTTGATTGAGTAGAGCAGTGAGTGTGCAATGCCAGAGTAGATTTAGGGTTCTATACTCTTCCCTGTTTTTTTAAGAGCCAAAAAAACTCATAATGGTGTTAACCACCTAGGTATGACCCCATCATCTGTGAACTTTAAACTGTATTTCCAGTCAAATACGTAAACGGATTGCAAAACCTACATATATACCAGCAAGATTTGAGTCAGTGTTTGTTTATGGCCAGACGTGCTGCCAACCATGCTCGCTAAACTTCCCAGGAGCACGAACCAGCCCCAAAGTGCCTCAAAATTGGTACTTTGGACCTGGTCACACACCCTAGCTGGATGCAGTCATGCTGGCAGAAGAGCTTGTTGCTTCTGCCTGCCAAGGTATCTGCCCTTTCATGACTGCAGGCTCTGCTGCGCGCATGAATGGTACCCAACCTGTTCAGCCAAAACGTGATGCCCTTTCAAGAAAATGACTGCACATGCTGTTTACTTGGACCTGGGCCAATGTGGGACGAGAAGGTTCAGTAGAGAAGCTGAGCTTGCTATTCAGAAGTGGTTGTAATCTCTGTTGCAGGAGAGAGAGAGAGAAGAGAGGGCTGAAATGGATGAGAGCAGTGGAGGGCAGGCTGGCACAACTGTGTCCAGGGAGGTGGTGTCTCAGGTGTGGGATTGTTCCATCCTCAGGTCTCCCTCAGTTCTTGAGGAGGGAGAAGAGCTGGTCGGTCTGTTGCATCCTCTAAATCCCATGCAAGTGAATTGGGTGCTAAATTGTCCTTACAAGCTGTGCCAGCAGCCAGTGTCTGCTGGGATGTATGTACAACCCAGTCAGAGATGCCTTAAAATGGGACAGAGGAGGCTATGGTGGCCATGTGTCATTGCTGATTCTTCCACACATGGGTCCAGGCTCATTTGGAACGATGAGCTTGAATAGAAAAATCATCAGCTCTGTGATACATTATCCATGGAAGGGTACAGAAAGTGGGAAGTAACAGCTGCTGATGGCAAAAGTTACAGCTGTGTGCATTATTTCTTCCAAATGGATTTTGAGAGCAGAGAGATCCAAACCCCAATAATAATGATATAAAGGGTGGTGGTTTGGTTTTTCTTCAATTGTTAAAATGCCTGGTGTGGACCAAATTCATAGCTCCTAACTGGCAGTTTCTTTGTCCAGCTTCCTTCACATCTACCGGCTGCATTGTTCCCCTGTAAAGCGGTGAATGGTTTGGCAGGAATTTACCTGGGAAATACAAAAAGTGACAATAATTTGCAGATATTATTGATAAATTTTGAGGCAAAGCATTTTTAATTTACATGAGGAGAATGTAAGACTTGCATAGCTTGAGCTGCTGGCTTGTTGGTCTGCAGAAGCCACATGCTTTTCTCAGAACATGCCATGAGGTTCACTGCCTTATTTTGACTAGAGAGAAGGACAGAGGTTGCCAGAGGTGCTTAGTGTCAAACATGTAAGAGTGGAGAGCTGGGAGTTATTGTATAGACAGAAAGTAATTGATGTTTTGTAGACAAATTGTTACTTCTTATGATGTTTTGAAATGATGCAAGGTCATAAGCAGAATGTGACAATCTGATTTTTCATATATCACGTGCGTGTGTATATAAACAAAGCAAACACATACGTGTGTTGCATATCTACTTCTATACAACAGTGGATAATGGTTGTACAAGAAAATATGGATCTGATTTTAGAGTGCTCATTGCATCAATCTTACTGAGTCAGTGGAATTCGAGGTCACCCTGTGCTTTACAAGATGACCTCAGCATCTTGCAAAATTGAGCTTCTGTGAAGAAAATGTTTTGTTTGCCATTTGAATCATCAAGAAGAGCTTTCAAGT